CATTTTCTCATATTGCCAGTTGATAAATTTGACTCATTTACATGCAACCCTTCGTGGTAACTCTATTCAGAGAAGTAAAATAAAATATGATGCACAGAAGAAATACTTTTGTCTGTTGTTTTATTTGATTTGTTTTGAACACGATGAATTACAAAGGAAATACAACTTACAGTTTCATGAACAAATGATAACACCCAGTATTGGCAAGATTATTGGCAGTTAAGGAGAACTTTGTCACCCAGTTGAGCATCGGATGCCACAATTTTCGGTTCCTAAAAGGTAAAGCAAAGCATATCTATGAGACCAGTATACTGAAGTGTTATATATACACACAAGGGCATCTACATAGGAGAAAAGAATCTTCCGACATGTAGTAATAATACATCTATCAATTATTTTAAGAATGGTAACAAAATTTTGTAATAAAAATAGAGATAGCAAATTGGCAAAAAACAATACTTACAATCTATTCACTGATGACTCAAATCTAATCTAAGCCCCAAAGTACTCTATCAAGTCCTCGTCATGCCATAAGTCCTCAAATGAACCTGTGCAAGTGAGTCCGAGGTGCAAAGGTGATGCAGTGAATGCATTATCAAAATCAAAATCTAATTGCAAGCTACCCATAGGAGAACCAAAGTTATTATCAAAAGCTCTCTCTTGTTCATTTTGGTATGTCTCTTTCCCATAATTGTGCAACTCTGCTCCAACAATCTCATTCTCATTTCTATGCAGTGCTGGTGGATAGGCTACATCCTCTGACCTATTCTGTTGTACATTAACTTCCATCTGACTGTTGAGCCCATCATGAACAGGCCCATATTCAACTGATTGACTATCGATGTTATAAGTAGTCCCTTGATGCATCTCAGCATTTTGCACTAATGGGTGGACCATTCGTCTTTCATCCGCAAACATGCCTGGTTGGGGGGTTTCAAAGGCATAAGGAACACCCGAATAAGGATTAAATTCAGATATTGAAGCTTGGGGTTGACCCTCAATATTGTTATCCAAAGACCTTGCAGCTGTGACCACACCATTTCCCTGTTGTCTACCATGTATATGATACTCGAGCAAAGGAATATCGCTGTTGTTCATATCAGGCAAACTGTTTGTCAACTCAGCATGTGCATGCTCCTCAATGGTTGGTCCAGGCTGCTGATCAGCATCTCCTGATTTCAGGCGTCGTCTTTTCTTTCTAGGTTGCTTTTCCACTTGCTCTTTCTCTTGGGCATGATCAGATGTGTCATTACGAGTGTTCCTCAAAGACTCTGCATCCACTGGTTGAATTCTCCTATCATCTTTTGAGGTAGCAGAACCCACACAGTCATCAAAGCCATCAACATCATAATCACTATCACTGCTGATGGCAGGTCGCGTTCTATCAACATTACGACCTGGAGGTGTTTCAGTTACACCAGACAGACCATTGTCACTACTGAGCTGCCGAATGAGGGATTCTTCTCGGTCCATGACCGCCAACCAAATTGCGCTCTCCTTTGCAGTCATCTTATCCTGTATACATTTTGACTGTCGAACATGCCTCCTGATTTTTGCAATATCAGTGACATGTGCTTTATAACAGCTGT